GACTCTTGCTACAGGGGGCCATGCAGCTGGCAAGCCCCTAGGTGACATCCTCCGTCTATTACATAGCATGGGCCACTATGGGTGTCTATAGCCACCTGTGCTGTGCACTGGAGGACAGATCTGTGAGTCACATGGTGGTCTGCAGGTCTCTGTCTGTCTTCTTCTTCCCTCCCTGCATTGCACGGTGGTAGGCGGCACTCTACCTGTGCCATGGCGCACAGGTGTCTAAGGCCAACCTGTGCTGTGAGGCAGACAGCAAGTCTGTGAGTGTCTTCCTTCACCTGCACCATGTGACATGTGGAGCATAGGTCTGTCTGTCTTTCTTCCTCCCTCAGTGTGCTGCCTGGATTTGATTTGATTTCATTCAATTTTTATGTATCATAAGCATAAAACGCCCTTGCCCACCAAGCCCAGCACAAGCTAGGATGAACAAAGGACTGCCAACTGCTTTGCCCCTGACTGATAAAAGAACACAAGGTGTCTCTTTCCCTGTGGCCAGGAAGGTTGAATAAATTTCTTAGTGAAAACACAAACAACAGCTGAATGAAATAATAAAAACAGTTCAAGACATGAAAGTAGGAATAGAACTGAGAAAAATTAGAAATGGAAAATTTAGGAAGACAAACAAAAACTCCAGAGGTAAGCCTTACCAAAAGAGTATAAAATATGTAAGAGAGAATATCAGACATTTATAAGATGGAAGAAATGGATACCTCAGTCAAAGAAAACATTAAATTTAAAGGAAAAACAAACAGGTATAGAACATTCAGGAAATCTGGGACAATGTGAAAAGATTAAATCTAAAATTATATGGATAGAGGAAGGAGAAGAAACTCAAGTCAAAAGCACAGAAAATATTTTCAACAAAATCATCAAAGAAAATCTCCCTAACCTAAAGAAGGAGATGCCCATTGAGGTACAAGAAGCATACACAACACCAAGTGGACTGAACTAGTAAAGAAATTCCCCATGACCCTTCATTATCAAATCACTAAATGTATTGCAAGGAAAAAAGATCAAGTGACATATAAAGGCAAGCTCACTAGACTAACATCTGACTTCTCAGTGAAGACCCTAAAAGCCAGAAGAGTTCTACAAACTCTAAGAGAACACAAATGACAGCCCAAAATACTATATCCAGTAAAACTATCAATCACAATAAATGAAGCAGGAGCAGGGAAGGGGAAACAATCCATGATAAAACCAAGTTTAAGAAATATTTACCTACCAATCCAGCTCTACAGAAGGCACTAAAAAGAAATCCTCAGTTGGAAGAAGTTAACTGCACCCAAGAAGACACAAGGAATAAATAGTCACAGAACAATAAATCAAAATTGGGGGGCACACCATAACAACAAAATAACAGGAACCAGTAAGCATGACTTATTGATAACTGTCAATATTATTTGCCTTAATTCCCCAGTTTAAAAAAAATCACAGATTAAGTGGGGCAGTGGGGCAATGGGGCAATGGGGCAGTGGGGCAGTGGGGCAGTGGGGTAGCGGGATAGTGGTGATGCACACCTTTAATTCCTGCACTTAGGATGCAAAGGCAGGCAAATCTCTGAGCTCAAGGCCTGCCTGGTCTACAGAGTGATTTCAAGGACAATCAGATGACATAAAGAAGCCCTGTCTCAGGGAGAGAGAAAAAAAGACACACACTAATAAATTAGGTGCTAAAACAGGATCAATCCTTTTGCTGCATCAAAAAAAAAAATTAACATCGAGAATAGACATCATCTCATGGTAAAGAGATAGAAAAAGATATCCCAAGCAAAGGGACCCAATAAGCAAGGCTCTGTAGTCATTTTAATATCTGACAAAATAGACTAGACTTCAAACCAAAACTAATCAGAAGACATAGGGAAGGACGCTACATACTCATCAAAGGGAAAAATCCACCAAGAGAACATTGAAATTCTAAACATGTATGTACCAAACACAAGGCACCTAAGTTCAGAAAAGAAACACTAGGATAGCTAAAACCACATACTGACCCTCATACAGTGATAATGTGTGATTTCAGTATCCCTTCCTCACCAGCATACAGGTCTTCTAGACAAAAATTAGGCAGAGAAATGCTGAGTTAAATTATTTCATAAATCAAATTGACCTAGCAGGAAACTTATACAGCTGAAAAACACTTCCAGCACAGTAGCAGGATACAAAATTAATACACAAAATCAGTATCTACAGAACGTTTCACCCAAACACAAAAGAATATACTGTCATCCCAGCTATACATGGACTTTCTCCAAAATTAACCACACACATTGACATAAAACAAGACTCAACAGTTACAAGAGAAATTGAAATAACACCCTGCATCCTTCCCGACTGTCATGGAGGAAAGCTGAGTATCAATACCAACAGAGACAACTGAAAGTTTACAAACTTACGGAAACTGAACAATGAATGCACTACTAATTGAAAAATGAGTCAAGACAGAAATTAAGAAAGAATTTAAAAATTTTAGAACCAAATTAAAATAAAAGCACAACACACACAAATCTATGAGACACAATGAAGGCAAGTTCATAGCACTAAATGCCTTCATAAAAAAATCGGAGAGATCTCATACTAGTAACTTAACAGCATATCTGAAAGCTCCTAGTAACAAGAAAAAAAATAACACCCCCCCAAAAAAACATAGATGGCAAGAAATAATCAAACTCAGGGATAAAATCAATTAAATAAAAACAAAAAAAGCAGTATAAAGAATCAATGAAACAAAAAGTTAGTTCTTTGAGAAAATCAATGAGATTGACAAATCTTTGGCCAAACCAACTAAAAGATGGAAAGAGAAGTTCTGAACTAACGAAATTAAAGACAAAAGGCAGGGCATAACAACAGGCACCAGGGAAATCCAGAGAATCATAAGGACATGTTTTTAAAACCTGTAGTCAACCAAAGTAGAAAGCCTAAAAGAAATAGATACGTTTCTAGATATATACCGTCAACCAAGGTTAAATTAATATCAAATAAGCAATTTTTAAAGACTCAAACCCCTAGTGAAATAGAAGCAATGAAAGTAAATTAAAAATCAATTAAAAGTCTCCCCCACAAGAAAACAAGAAGTCAAAATATCTTTATTAGCATATATTATTTTATGCATAAAAACTCTAAAATTCCCACCAGGAAACTTATACAGCTAAAAAACACTTCCAGCACAGTAGCAGGATACAAAATTAATACACAAAATCGGTATCCTTCCTATATATAAATGACAAATGAACTGGAAAAGAAATCACAGAAACGGTATCCTTCACAATAGCCTCAAATAATACAAACTATCATGGGATGGCTCTAACCAAGCAAGCAAAAGACTTCTATGATAAACGCTGAAGAAATTATAAACAGAATGAAGAAGATATCAGACAATGAAAAGATCTCCCGTGCTCATGAGTCAGTAAGATTAATAATGTGAAAATGGCCATCCTACCAAAAGCAGTCTACAGATTCAAAGCAATCCCCATCAAAATTCCAACACAATTCTCCACAGATCCTGAAAGGACCGTTTTCAGCTTCATGAAACACACACATGGCGGGGGGTGGGGGATTGTTAAAACAACTCTGAATAATGAAAAAACTGCAGGAAGTATCACCATCCCTAACTTCTTAAGTTGTACTACAAAACTATAGTAATAAAACCAGCATGGAGCGACCCATGGCTCCAGCTGCATATGTAGCAGGGGATTGCCTTACCTGGCATCAATGGGAGGGGAGGCGTTTGGTCCTGTGGAGGCTCTATGACCCAGCGTAGGGGGGTGCTGGAGAGGTGAGGCAGGAGTGGGTGGATGGGTGGGGAAGCACCCTCATAGAGGCAAGGGGAGGGGGGATGGGATGAAGGAAATGTAAATAAATAAAATAACCAATAAAAAATGTGAAAAAAACAACAAAACAGCATGGCATTGGCACAAAAACAGACATGTTGATCGATGAAATTGAACTGAAGACTCAGATGAATCTACACACCTGTGGACACCCAGTTTTTGATAAAGAAGTCAGAAATAGAAATACACACTTGGGGGGTTGAGACTATTGTACTTGTCCCTCCTCTCTTTTCTCTTCCTTCTGTCTTCTTCCCCACTTTCTATTCTGTATCTCTCACATATCTCCCTCCCCTCTCTCCCTCCCCTCTCCCCTTCCCACTCCCCCACCCCTCTCTCCCTCCCCTCTCCCCCTCCCCTCTCCCCCTCCCCTTCCCTC